GATTTACCCAAAAGATATTCAGAGCTTTCCCCAATCATGAATATTCGTTATTGTCTAGATAAATTTATGTGCCTGGGTCCAAATTGCACACCGATCGTATTAAGAACTGATGCTTTTAGGGGTGTACGTACGAGAACATCAAAGACTTTCTCTTGCCACTATTTTCACGAGCCTAAGGTGCTTAATCGGTAGAAGAGGAAATCAAATATTATGAGGATTCAAATTCTGAAGAGCAACTAATTTTTTGATACAGGTCTCAACATGACCCTAAAATTAGATCGGAGGGGGGCAATAGCAATCTACAAGGTCGTGAGGAAAGTTTGGTATACATTGAATTGACATCGTATGAGCGGAGTACCAAGTTGCAATCCGAGTACCACGGAATCCCAAGATATCGTCAAAATAACGAAAATGGTCGAGGAAAGCATTTTGCAAGCGTATCGCTTTCACCAAAATTATCTATCGAAAGGTAAAGAGAGTACTGACATAGGAAGAATGAGACAACGACTTTCCATAAGGCTGAACAACACTAGTCATTAAATTATATGGTCCTCCCTGATAAACTGAGGATGAAAGAATCATGACTTTCCAAAAGGCTGAAAAGAAAAAGAATTAGGACAAGTTTTTGAAAACACCCAATTTTTAAATTTATATACCAAAATCGACTCTTTTTGAAAAAAAATTAGCAAAACCGATCCTTTTCAGATGATTCGAATGGCACGGAACTAGCAGTCCCGTGCATTAAAAAAAATTAGCAAAACCGATCCTTTTCAGATGATTCGAATGGCACGGAACTAGCAGTCCCGTGCATTTCGTTTTCTTTTCAAACTGCACTCAGCAGATAGTTTTGAAATGCACGGAGCTGCTAGTCCCGTGCAGTTCGAAAAACACTTTCTCAGCAAAACCGATCCTTTTCATTTGAAAATGGTCGGTTTTGCTAATTTTTTTTAGAAAGGGTTGATTTTGCTATATAAATTTAAAAATTGGGTGTTTTCAAAAATTTGTCCATAGAATTATCGTTTATTGCCTCCCTAACCCCAATCTCTGTGTTCTGAAAACGCTCTCAGAAGTCTCTCAAATACAAAACCAATGTCCCCCCTCTATTCATTCTTCTTGACTTCACCCACCGCGATCATCGCGTCTCTTTCCTCACCCAATTTTTTCTTGCCCAACCCACAAAAATTTGTCAACAAGACCCACTCCCCTTCGAAACTCACCAACCCACAAGTTAAAGCTATCTCCCTCCTCTCACGCCAATCCAAAAGAATCCAGCCAAATTCCTGACCAAAACCCAGTTTCTCATCCATCATTCGTTTATTTATGCGCATACTTCCGTATGCATGTATATGACTTACCACAAATGTACGCGCATTTAAAAAGCTCAAGCGGCTGCGTTTTCTCCACCCCCACCCTTCTCTCTTTTTCCACTGGAAAACGACCCCACTGGAGCGCACTCCCATTAAAGATCCCCCCTCTCTCCTTCTCCCGCTAATCTCGCTACAGAGATCTACCATGTATAAAAAAGCAAGCGAGCATTTTGTTTCCAGGGGAATAAAGCTATAAAGATCTCACCTTTGCTTGATTTTCTTCTTCTTTTTTTGCCTTTTTTTTTGGGCCAATTTCTGCTTGCCTTCTGATCTGGATCTGACGCTTCTACCGTTTTTACCCAGTTCCTTCATCTGGGTATTCGTCAAAATCACTCCTTTCTTTGGCTCCCTGATCCGGGTCTCTTCGAAATTTCAATCTTTAGTTCGGTCTCTGTCCCAATTTTTGATCTGGGTGTTTTTTTTTTCTTTCTATGAGCGGCGAGTTAGGGCGCTAATGGGGTGCGCCACGTCGAAAAAGGCTGTCCTGGTGACTCCGGCATTGGATTCTTCGGGAATTTTGAGGGACAACAATGCGTCAGACACGGTCTCGACGACTTCATCGAGGCGTAGGGCTGGATCGAGACACCGGGAGGAGGAAGAGGTGAACCGATGCGAGTCGAGTGGCGAACTGGGGAAGTTGAGCCTGAAGAGTGCCAGCTCAATGAGTGTTAGATTGGGGAATCTGCACAAGTACATTGAAGGCGAGCAGGTTGCGGCCGGATGGCCTGCTTGGCTCAGTGCCGTTGCTGGGGAGGCTATTCAAGGTTGGGTGCCCCTCAAAGCCGACTCCTTTGAGAAATTGGAGAAGGTAATGGAATAAATGTTAATTTTGATTGTGATCAATAATAAGGTTGATAAACTGCGGTGCATACTTCGTACTGTAAGCTGAGGATTTTTTTTGACTTGTGTGTTTGTACTTTGAGCAATGTGGTTGACACTGTTGTGCCTACTTGACACCGAGGTTTAAGGTCATCTGTTGTCTTAGTAAAAGTTTGGCAATGCGGTGATCCCATTAGCTGAATTGAAGACCAAGCCAGACAGTAGCTATTAAATTTCGGTTTTATGTTGTCCAGATAGAGGTTTCTTTGTTTGATTGGACTTTTGTTTCATTGTTTTTTTTATAAGCACTTGGTAATGCATGATTTGATCTTTATTCTTTATCCAACTGCATTTGTAGATTGGGCAAGGCACGTATAGTAGTGTATTCAGAGCTCGAGATCTTGACACTGGGAAGATAGTTGCATTGAAGAAAGTGCGGTTTGACAACTTCGAGCCTGAGAGTGTTAGGTTTATGGCCCGAGAGATTCAGATACTTCGGAGGCTCGACCATCCAAATGTTATTAAATTGGAGGGATTAATTACTTCACGATTATCTTGTAGTATTTATCTCGTCTTCGAATATATGGAACATGATCTCGCTGGATTGTCATCTAGCCCTGACATCAGCTTCAGTGAATCACAGGTTTGTCCATTTTTTTACTACTTCATTCTCTTAGCTCAATTTAGTGACGTGTCTTCGTTCAATTCTATAGGTTAAGTGTTATATGCATCAGTTACTCTCTGGACTTGAACATTGCCATTCACGAGGTGTCATTCACCGTGATATCAAGGGGGCTAACCTTCTGGTGAACAATGAAGGAATCCTTAAAATGGCTGATTTTGGCCTAGCAAATTTCTGGAGTCCTGGGCATAAGCAACCGCTAACTAGCCGTGTTGTGACTCTTTGGTATCGTCCACCTGAACTTCTTTTAGGTTCAACAAATTATGAAGCAAGTGTTGACTTGTGGAGTGTTGGATGTGTATTTGCCGAATTGTTACTTAAAAAGCCCATCTTACAGGGACGAACTGAGGTAAGTAGTTCAAGCCTTGGATGTGTCCAATTTTCATCTCTGACTAAAGAAAAGACAAACTACAGAAGGTGTCATTCAAGCAGAAGAAAGTCAATGAATTCACAAGTACTCTAGTAATCAATTGCATGGTAAAATAAACAATTGTCACCGTATAATTGAAAGCAGGAGGTTGTGCAAACTATTGCACTATGAGCATCTATGGTCAGGATGACAGTGGTACAAGTTGTCATAGATTCAAGTGGAACAAGTTACATCTAAAAGCATAATAAATCCCTTTCTGGATGTTCTAACTAGGAAAGAAGAAATTAATATAGAACAAGGAGACTGTTGTGAAATGTTACTGGAAATTATATATGGGATAGATCAAAGATTTGAAATTTAAGGTCAAATAAACACATAATTAAATATGAACATCCTAGCGGCCACTTGGTAGATTTAATGGATCATGTTGAACCTTTCTTACAATACTTTGGAGGCTATGTATTAGCTGCCAGAGAAAGACTGCTAAAACTTCACTACACTCAGCAACAAGGGAAAATGATGTGAGGAACTCTGTATGTGATTATTGAGAATGAGCATCCTCCTATAGTAACTTAGGTAGGTAGCATTATGAGTTCATTATTCTACAATTCGAGCATATTTTGAAGTTTCCAGTACTGGATTAATCCTCTAGAAACCAATTCAGTTAACCAGAAATATATCTGCTTCTGTGCTTTGTGATGGAAATGGCTCTTTAAACATCAAATGAGAATGTGCAAGCGTGAATTTTTTTGTGTAAATCCATACATAGTAGAGCCTTATGCTGTTTATTTCTTTTGGGATTACTAAATAAAGACTACATGCTGAAAAATGATTGTGCCAAACATGTCTCAGCCCGTTTTTTTTGTTTTCCTCTTTTTCTTCTTCTTGTGTGTGTGTGCGTGTGCGTGTGCGTGTGCGTGTGTGGATCTTACTGCCAAGATAAACAATGGACATATTTAGAAGTCAAAAAGATAATAATAAGAAGAAGAAGTAATGGACAACAAAGAATTGTAAAAGTTAGCACTTCACATAGGTGTCTATTTTTGCAGAATTATTTGTTTTAATCTATGATTAGTTGAAAAATTGCATTTTTTCAATGGTAGGAATTTCCTGTTTTTTCATTAAATAAGAAAATACATCAAATATCATTTGAAGTTTCTCTATTAGTCATGATGCGCTTGAAGCACTTCAACCATTAGCAATTTGAGCAAGGAAAATTTTGAAGATCTGAACATCTCTTCTATCTTCAGGTTGAACAATTGCATAAAATTTTTAAGCTCTGTGGTTCCCCAGCAGAAGAATACTGGAAGAAGTCTAAGCTGCCACATGCAACAATATTTAAACCCCATCGGCCCTATGAAAGTTGCCTTCAAGAGACATTCAAAAGTTTACCATTAAGCACTTTTAGTCTACTGGAAACTTTGCTGTCAGTTGAGCCTTACAAGCGAGGCACTGCATCAACTGCTCTTGCATCTGGAGTAAGTATGCATACAGTATTTAATAATATATTATGATTGTTGTTCTTGTTCTCTCACATTATCCATGCTTTCCTATGCTGGTTAGTTTGAGAGAAATTTCTAAAACATGTAGCTAGAATCAAAATTATGTTTCTTTGATAGTATTATTATACTAGTCAAGTTGATCTTATAGGAGCCTACCCAATTTGATAACTCATAAAATTCAACAACATCATCATACAGAAAAAGCGTACAAGACACTCGTAGTTGAGATTACCTACCAAAATGGTTGTTGATGATTTTCCTTTAGCTGTTCTAGACTGCTTATGTATTTTTCAAACAAGTTACTGATTGAATTTAGTTTCTTTTGAATATTACAAGAATCAAACTGGAAAGCAATTATTGCAGTGATAACCATATGTTCCATTAATCTGAAAAAGTTCACTTCAACAGAATATGATAATAAGATTCTTTAACAGTTCCGATCATTTCCTTTGCCACATAATTCAGCTCCTTCTGATAAAGATGTATTTTAGAGTCCTGTGATCAATATTCCTCACACCAAACTCAAAAAGTTTTTCCTTTGCAAATAAGCATATTACAGCACCATGAGTAGTTTTATGAAAAGTTTGAGCTATGACTGATATTGACATGTATCAGCTATATCATATTGGACTTTAGGATGCTGATTCAATCCATACCAAACTGACCAATACCTTAGCTAATAATGAGTAATAGATATGTGATCTGAGGTTTGATGAAGTAATAGTTGCTTTGAGATGTTATATTAGGAAAACATAAAGGAAAAATATCATAAGTAGAAATTTGTTGGAATTTAATGTGCTCCATGTATCATAATTTGTAATTATGATCAGACAATGTCAATACTCCCTGTAGTGTTACCACTAACGGAAAAATAAATCCGTGATGACTAACAATATCTCAAACCTGGATCTGATGGGACCTTCAGGCATCACTTTAACCATTTTATGAAATGTGTGATGGGCACCAATGACAATTCACTGGTCGTTAAAAGTCATGTTAGTTTTACTGTGCCCATGTCTATTTGAACTTTTTATATGATCATATTTGTAACAATTTTATCAAGAGAATGGCCAGCAGGTATCTGACCTTCACTTTGCACGTAGGTAAGTCATTGAAATAAGAACAGTGTTTCTCACTTAATGCATTTGCGGACTTCTCTGGCATTGTATGCTTAGGACTCTTGTTTTGAGGCTATTTAGTACCAAGAGCTTGTGATGAAATAGAGGAGTTACCTAACTTTATTCTGCTCAGAAGAAAAGGAGTATGCAATAAGAACAGCAAGAGCAAAAGATCAGTGTAGATACTAGATATGAATATACACGGAAGTCTGAAAGAAGAGAAATGGCTAACTTCTTCATCATAAAGAAACCGTTGAGACATTGATGGCCAAGACTAATAAGATCTCTTTTCTTTAAAGCATGCCGGTGGAAGGTTATAGTCCTATGTTTTGGTGACAGTAAAAAGGACATGTGCTCCTTCCATTGTCTGAAGAGACATTTATGTGAGGCTATTACTTTTGTCTGGTTTATAATGTCATTCAACAGACTGTATACCGCATCACACTTCTAGGTCATCTCTATGATCAAGAAAACAGTCAGTGTGTAACTTGCAGCTGATATTACATACTAATTTATGAGAAGGTTAAATGTAATAGAGAAACAAGGAGAGATCCAGAAAGAAAATTGATGAAACAGTAGGCAGACGGACCGCATTTTGAATGAAGAGGGAATGTGAAATGAGGCTCAAAGACGTTATTGCCAAAATAATTGACTACTTGGATTGTGCATTATACTGTAAGATCAGGAATTCCAAAGATTTTTTTTAAAAAAAATAGTCTTCAATTAGATTGCTTAAGAAAAGTGTAGACCTCAGATATTTGAGACTGGTCTAGAAGGCCACAACTTTGTCGTAATGTGCTTGCAAAATCTTTCACAGAGATTAGGAGCAGCTATCAGTTTGACCCATTAAGTATAAACCTGTGTAGTTGACCATGTATGATTACAATGCTAGTAGTTAGATTTCACGCCTTAGGCCATTCTGCAACTTCATTTAGTAGAAGGTGAAAGAGTAGCAATTTTTTTTGTAAGAACGAAGTTATTAATTGGTCATTGATTATCAGGAGAAATATCATTTTTCTTCTTTGCAGTTTTTGCCCGATGAATATATGCAATTTTGAAAGGATAACGATGAAAGAACAAATTTAAATGACATTGATGCTAGAACCTAGAAGTGCTAGAAGGTGGAAATCTCATGATAATATGAATTGATTGCTGAAGTGCAACCTCGGCCTATACATTTTTGTATCGAGGGACAATACTTTAGCAGAAAAAAAAACTTAGTTTGCTGCAAAAATTTCAGAATTTAGCGGAGTCTATTTGTTATTCAGTCTACATGCAAGGTCGAGAAGACTATCAGAACTGTATGGATTCTATCAATCTGCAACTGGTTGACTCATGAAATTCAACTTATATGATTCTGTTTTACTCCTGTATAAAGTCTTTTTCGCCACTAAAAATATCTTAAATTTAATGTAAAGTCAAAACCATTAAAATTATTTGAATTTAATATGGATTCAATGCAAAGGTAGGAACTTCTATGTCGTCAAGTGTGGCACTACATCCGGTAGAAAGTGTATTGGCTTTCTAAACCCTAGAAAGACCTTTAAGTTCCGTACGTCTTTCCATATTTAAGCTGGAGATTCCTTTTATTGTATATGATATACTTATGTTTTATGAACCATAACAGCTAGAGTTTTGACTAGAGAATAATGAAGACTTATGCATGTTATCTGATTTTTTGTGTGACCACCTTTTGAAGTTTACTATGTGAAGTTTGTGCTTACCTTTTGACATTTTTCTGTATGTTTTCCCAGTACTTCACAACAAAGCCTTATGCATGTGAACCTTCAAGCTTGCCTAAGTACCCACCTAACAAGGAGATAGATGCAAAAAGTCGTGAAGAATCACGGAGGTTAGTAACTGATAGTTATTCCTTTATACCTGTACGGAACATGCAAACAAATATAACGTGATATCCAATAGATCGAAATGTAAATTTTACTCACTTGCTAAGTGTTGATTAAGAAATTTAATTACTCAAATGTGCGCTAAAGTGTGTTATGTGAAATTTTGGCTTGTTCTTTGACATGAATTAACCCATTCTTAATAACATTCAGGAAAAGAAGTTCAAGAACTTCTGCTAGAGTAAATGGGTCAGATGCAACAAGAAGATCATCAAAAACATATAGACCTCCACAAGAGGCAAATGAAACAAATAGATTAGCAGCTCGCCCTGAGGTATAATTTTCCGTAGACTGGCTTGAGTGCTTGTTCCATGATTAACTATAAATTAACTGAGGATACTTTATCCTCATTTTATCGCTCACCATGACCTGAGAAATGAACTGTTTTGGTTTCAGGAGTCAATCCATTCTCATGGCTTGAATAGATATCGAAAGCCAGATCAACCTAGAGGAAATGGTGACCTACAGCCTTTGCCATCAATTAATCCAGCAGATGATAGTCAAGAAACAAAGCACGATTCTAAAGAAGACGTGAATTTCTCAGATCCATTACGTGTTAATGCTTCCAGTGGCTTTGCATGGGTGAAGAAACAGAAAGACGAGCATTCGGTCATTAGATCTCACAGTAAATCTAGTTCAAGAAGCCATGGTTCTTTTGGCAGCTTAGATCCTTCAAATATTATCCAAGCTAAAAATGGTCCCCGGTCTAAAGGGCAAACAAATAAAGAAGTTGGAGATGAGGCTCATGTTGTTTCCAAAGTCCATGAACATTATGAGATCGCCAAGCAAGCTATGCTGAAGAAGTGGGCACAGTTGGAAAATCAAGACTCATTTAATTCTTCTGAACTATTTCATTCTCAAGATTTCTCTAGAGGACTTTATAAGGGAGATGTAGTATCTTCAAGGCGCGATGATTTGGTAATAATTTGCATATCTAGTTGCTTTCTTCTATCAACCACACTTAAAAATAAACTAATAATTAAATACTCCTTTGAAATTACTAGAGCTACCAAGATCAAGCCGATAGAGTTGAGTTTTCTGGGCCTCTATTATCTCAATCTCACAAGGTAGATGAACTTCTTCAGAAGCATGAACGGCACATCCGACATGCAGTTCGTAGATCATGGTTTCAAAGAGGTAAACAAAATTTTATTTTCAACCACCTGAATTTAGTGGTCATTTTGAATTACATTCTAATATTCTCAATTTTATTGTCACTGTATTCTTTTTTTGGTATTTTATTTTGTTTTCTTTTCTTACCCATCATCAGCCAGTCCAGACCTGGTAAGGTACTCACACCATGTTGCCTCTCCTCCCATGAAACACGTTTTCATCCAAAATCACATATATGCCTAATGCTAGAATTTATTATTCTTAAATTACCTTTGTTTCAAATAAAATAATGAACATCACTTGGGTTCTTTACCAAAGTTAATTAATTTGGAGAAAAAAGAATATGAGGTATTATAAATTTTCTTCATACTTCAATTTATTTAGCACCCAGCAATCCGGTGCTTTATAACACCTCATAAAGAAACATTAAAATCAGAAAGTACTTCTTGCAACCCTATTTAGTTTTGTGTTCGTGCGAAAAGAAAAACAGTTAACTGGGATGATATATGCTCCCTTTGGAAAACAATTACCTTGTGATGGTATACACTCCCACCCCCCCCCCCCACCCCACCCCCAACCCCCCAAACCAGCCCAAAAAAACTTCAAGAAACCCACACAAGGAAGAAACCATAGAAAAATATACACAAAGTAACATTAAATGGGTCAATAAAAGTTGCTAGACGATACATTGCCAAGTTTGTAGGTAATATAATAATAGTAATAATACTAAGATGGACTGTAGAAGTATCATTGCATTGATGTCCAACATATACGCCCATGGGACATAATGTTAAATGAAATGCGAGAATATGGGTGTTAGGATAGCTCTTTGGCCACATCCATGTCTAGAAGAAAATTAGGCTAGAATATCATGCAATGGGATTTTTGTAGCTTTCCTTTTTTGTTGCTACAATACATGAGTGTGACTGTAGGCACAGACATACATAGGATGTGGCCAAATATTAATAAACTCTAATATAATTAGAATAAGAACTTTCATTTAAGCATTAATTGAGGCAACTAGTACAAACAACCCTCCATTCAAACATAGTAGTGTCAAATTTAAATTTTAGCCCTGCATTAATTGGTAAAGCACCTTAAATTAAGTTCCTCCACAATGAAGGGACATAAAGCATATTGTTTAAAATCAATAATTGTGCAGAAGTTAATTTGTGGATGATGTTTCATTTACCGAGTATTCCCACTATTGGAATATCCATGTAGATGCTCTTCATCTCTAGCCTTCTCAAAATCTTGAGTCAGGTCCTTATTGGTGTACTTGTGCCTAGTGGTCCCTGTGTCTACCACATATTCGACCATGCTTCCTACCGTTTTAACATCGGAGATCATTGCAGCAATAACCTCTTCCACTGTCACATTCCCTTAGTCTTTACTCTTTAGAGTAGGTATGATTGAATCTTCGAGTTGGATTTCTCTTGACCATGATGGTGTGGACATTGATAGGCTTTGTGGCTAGTTTTCTCACGTCTTGCATATTCCCATTGGCTTCATTTGAATCTTGTTTGGTTTCTTGAACTTATATGCCTTCTTATTCGTCCCTGTAATTGATTTTGAGGTTTTTCTCCCTTAGCTCTTGAAACTATCATTATTTTTGTCAAAAGAAGATTCCACTAGATTAGGTTTATAAAAAAATCAGAAACAAAATTAGACTTATCTTTGATCTTATTGACCTCTTTGATCTTCATATAGCCAATTAGTTTCTCAAGAGTTATGTATCTGTTTGTTTGTGCTTCAGTTATGGTAGATACTCAAGGAAGGCGGTAGTTTTTCGATCAATGCATTAGTTTGTAGGCGGAATCTCGCACATCTTCATTGATGCGGAGGCAATAACCAATGCTTTTCAAGGGTTCTCTATACCTAAGGTTTTCTAGGGTTTATTATGCTACCGCTTCATCATTCATGCCTTCATATAGAACATTAGGATTGAGATCATCTACTAATGAGGAGGTTTCTAATATCTCCTAATGGGATCTTGACCTTTGATTTATCAATCAAAGGCCAAAATCTACTCATGAACGGATAAGGATGAGATCTTGGCCTTTAATTGATAAATCAAAGGCTAAGATCTCTTTATTAGGAGATATTAGGAACACTTTGCATTAATAGAGGATCCCAATATTAGAACATTAGCCACTATATACTCGTGAACATGGTCCATTATTGGCTTGTCATCCGCTGCCTGAAATTGTAGTCACCTTCCCATAACATACTTCTTGAGGCTAACATTATTTGTTCCTTTTTTTCTAAAGCATTTCATATTTCTTTGCATACTTGTTAGGGACAGAGAGATCAATGAAATTGTTTGAAAATGATTCAGAATATGACCTCTACATGTTTTATTCTTCCCCTCATATATCCCCTATCCTGGTAGAAGATCCTCTTGCAGGCTCAAGCATATCATCAAAAACTTAATCAATGGATAGCACATAATCAACATTAGTTTGTTCCAAGAAAAGCATTTTTCAAACCATCGCCTATAACTATCACAGTCAAGTAGTTCAAGTCTGGACATGTTAGGAATGATTTTGTGAATAGTAGGGTAAGCCATTGATCTACACGTTGAAATCAACAATGTTGAAATCAATTTTAATATTTAGAAAATAAATTGCAGCAAAGATCAATAGAAATGATAGATTGGATGGGAATTATAATGGCGTTGCCGAGGTGACAACCATGTCTTAAAAGTGATTTCTCACCAAATGTTGCGCAAATCATATGCTCGGTGGTCGCTCCCGGAGGTTAACATAACACCCTTCAATGTTAACCCTTCAATCATGTGTTCTCGCAATTGGAGTAGAACTTGCTCAAATTTTATGCTCCAAGAATTGGATAACATAAAGTTGAATAGTTAAGAATTGAAAAGAGAATTTATTTTTCTATGTAAAATTAAGGCTAACGAAGTTCACTGTATATAGAGAAACAAAAAGTTCTCTGTTGGAGTACAACTTGTCAATTTAACCAACTTTAATGGAGCATTAATTGGGTTAATGACAATCAACATTAATAGCACAAATTAATTAACTCTGCAGCAAAGAATGGAAATGCGGTAATTGAGAATTTGCTTGGAAAAATAGAAGATCAACAATGAAATTTTTTGGCTATAGACCATATATCCCCTACTAAAATACTTAAAAGGTACATTAGACTGGAGGTTTGATTTTAATAATTTCCTACAATATTAGAGAGATTTTGTTATACAAATTGTGTATTTGATGATGATGAGGTAACCTCTACTAGTGATTGTCTTTAATTAGGTGGAGGATCTATATCATGAAGTCAACCTAACAAATGTTATCGCTCGCTCTTTCATGGATTTTGATTTCATTACTCTTGAGTTGGCAGGTTAAGAAGCATGGTTGAGAAATTTATTAGCATGTCATTGCTGGGGGAGACTAGCTCGAGCTGTCTCCCTACATGTGACCCACAGGCAGCCATTGCTACAAAAAAGCAAGGCATGTAATGCAAAAAAGAGACTCATGCATTCGTCATTTTGCCGCCTTAGAGTACATAAGATGTGAGTGGAACTTATCCGATTTTCGCACTAAGATTCTCTCACTAAAAGGTCACCATGAGATCAAACGAATCCAAGAGATGACTCAATTTGCACTACTACTGTCATATGGTGTGAACCGGTGCAAGTGATTGATGTGTGTTACGTTGAGCATTTGCTCTTAATGAACTCATAGACTTATAGTGGTGTGGTAAGAGACGCACTTGATAAATTCACCTACATCAGTGTGAAGGTGTGGCTGCCTTCTGTGAGAGTTATTGGACTATATCTTAAGAGCATTCATGAGTATCCTAAGGTAGCGCATGGCCAAAATGCAAAATATTCTGATGCAGAACTTGCTAAAATCTCAGGTGAAAGACGTGTATTGACTCAATTTCTATATTCAATAAGATCAAGAGTTTTCTCACTTAGTGAATATAGACATCTTCCTATCTCACTACGTATTAATTCGAGTGGTAAGACATTGACATTTAAAGTATTGATTCTTTAATTGCTCAGAGATTCTTTTCTCTGTGTAGTTCTTTCTTTCTTTAGATACCAATTTTTTCATTATATGGGGGAACGTTTAGATGCAATGCAAAATATGGATATGAAGATAGCTCTTTGTGTAAGTCCGTGGATAGAAAAAAATTAGGCTAGAATAACCTCCAATGGGATTTCTTTAGCTTTTCTTTTTGTGCTGGCTACAGCACATGGGCGTGAGTTTAGGCTTAGGCATTATGATATGTAGGTGTAGCCTAAAATTTTCATTGTTCACCTTTTACCTTTTCAGGCAAATCCTCCATCACCGCATCCACATTTTTCACAACAGATTTTTGCAAGTTTAGTGTTGATTAATTTGCGCTATTAATGTTGATTCCCGTTAGTCCAATTAATGCTTAACTAGTGCTGGATTAAATTGGCACATTTAATTTCTACTCCAATGAAAAACTCTCCGTTTCTCTATACATAGTGAACTTCGTTGTCCTTCGACATATGTACAAAAATCAATTCTCTTCTTTGTTCTTGACTATTCGACTCTCTGTTATCAAGTTCTCAGAGCGTAAAAGGGTGTTGTGTTAACCTTTCGAAGCGATTAATGAGCAACCAATTTGCACCATGATTGGCACGGAGTCGCTTTTAAGCCAGCGGTTGTCACCACATCATAGCTATTTGCATAGGTCCCACACAATCCATCTTTGCTACTGATCCTTTAGTGCAATTTATTTTCTACACATAATATCTGACTGAGATCCATATATAGGTTTTAGTATGGTCTCCAATATCTGAGTTTATGGGACATGGATCCCAAATTGAGTATGCGGATTTAATTTGCTCACTCGGGTTATAATCTCTAGGAATAGCACACAGTACAAATACGAATTTATCTGAATCAGGTCCTAGGTCTTGTCTTATCTCCAAGTATTTCCACCTGCATCTGGTAGACATATGCATGAATGATGTGATGATACTGGTTAAAAGATGAATAATGGATAATATGTAACAGATTTTTCCATATTGATAATTATTTCTTTATGCCAAAATTTCACATATAAAATCTATATGCCGTCGTAGGGTCTCCCCGATCTCTGAAACATGGATCCCAAATAGAGTATGTGGATCTGATTTGGTAATTTGGATTATGTGCTCTTGAAATAGCTGATATTGCAAGCACGAATTTATCTGGATCAGGTTCTAGGTCTAGTCCTGGCTGCATGTACTTCCACATGCATGTGGTTGATATATGCATGAATAATGTGATTATACTAGACTTACTAGTCAAGAGATGAGTAATGCATCATGTTTACAACATATCTCAACCCATACTCAGTGTCATCGCTTATTATCCTTTTTATCTTCTGGGCATCATTCTTATCAAAACTCTAGTACCTCGAGAAGTTTGTAACAGTATGACATTTTCTTCCCCTTTCCAGTCATATTTGGTAATTTCTAGCTTAAGCTTTAATATTGTTAACATTTCAGACATTCTTATGGTAATATTCAACAGCTGCAGGAAGAAAGCAAAGGAAGTAGAATCCAAACTCTTTCCATCCATCGGAACAGAATCCCATAGGTGCTTATCATGCTGGTAACTCTGAGTTAGACGGCCTAATAGCTTTGACAGAGATTTCAATGGAATAATAATCAAAATGATTTGCGAAGGCTGATGCACTCTAAAATTGTCCTGCTGATAAAGCTGAAAGTACAGCGCTGCAGAGGACTTCGCATAATTCAGTTTCGCTGTTTGCTGAAACAGTGCGCTCTCTTGACTTCTGAAAGTGTAGAGGCGCTTGGGTGCTTGTGGAGAAGTCTCAGAGATGCCAAAATTCTGTAAAGAAATTATGTATATATTTCAATTTTTTCTTTGAGTTTATACAATCAGTGGATATCGTGAGTGTACAGATTAATATCTAAATGGGTATTCCATTTCAAACTTTCTTTAGTTAACTGATCAGTTATCTCATGACCTTATCTTTATTCCTTTTTTTTTTTTTGAAAGTACAAATAGGCTAGGTGTCCTGTTCAAAATATCATTAGTACAACTAACTTCACTAGGCTTAAGAGGGTGTTTGGGGTTGCTTATTTTTTGGTCAAACTAGCTTTTAAGCTAGCTTTTTAAATTTACTTAGAGGCTCAGTTTGACAAACTACACAAAATTGGGTCCTGGCCCAGTTTTGTGTTAAACTCGTTTTCATTTGGACCAATACCGTCCTGGTTCAAATGAAAACCAGTTTAAGGTCACTATTTGGCCTATGAAAATAGGGCTTGATCTGGTCCTATTGTTTGCCAAACAAAAAATCTTTCAAAACTGGGCCAAGTTTGAGCCTGACCTAATTTTGAGAGATTGCCAAAGACACCCTAGGACTATAAGAGTAGTTCTTACAAAGGGTGGTTATGATCAAAGAATTCATACCAAGAGTAGAGAGCGGATGATGTCATGACCTTGCAACAGATTCAAGAATTCATTGTCCATTTAATGTATGTAATCAACATAATCTCACAGTAAACTTGAAGCTTAAGCGCCTAATTGATTGCAACATTTTGTTGCGCGACAAATTTTATCAGTTAATGTACATAGCAGTCTTGTGATATGCATGAAGTCTATAGAAATTAACAATTAGTCTGTTAACTCTGTTTGAAGCAGCAGTTCTTTCCTTTTTCTGGTGACAAAGTGTTCAAGTTGAGCAACCCCTAAATGACTGATACACTTGGGAACTCTTCATCATCATGATCACTGGAATTTCTATGCCTATGAAATCAATTAGTACCATTGAACAGACAATTTAATTGGATCACACCAGAAATAGAAAACAATCTGGACTTTGGCTTCCCTGGATTCTACTAGCTCCTTCTCCAAATCTTTTAGGTTTCAGTCACTACTTAATTGTTATGTACAAAATTGTACGGTACCTTTGTTTTTCAGTTAAATGAAGAAATGATTCGGATATAAAATTAACATTCTTCTAAGCAAAATTTGGTTAATCGTTTTTTTTTTCATTTGATGCAAACTTGAATTTGATAAATGAAGCCTATTAGGAAACAAGAACTGGTTGACTTTATATCAAAATTTCCAATGATCATATGTGTCGTCCGGAGACATTAGTGGTTGGCTGAACAAGTTCTCCAATGATCAATTTTTTAGAAGAATGATAGATCCTGACTGATTCCAAGGATATCTCTGAGACCGATCTTTTGATTTTGATGCTGTAGAACCAATATTCATCTTATTATTCAATAATACCATTTTATAACTTGCATAGATTTTTTTTTACAGGATTAGTTTGTGGAGATTCATCGATCGAATTACAATGTTTCACAGAAACAGGTCCACGTAGAGAGAGAGAGAGAGAGATAGAGATGAAATTAACAGCCTTCAAATAGTCAAATCTTGATTTGTTTTTCAAAATTTTTGTATCACGGCTGAATTAGCATAATCACTGCTCTCTTAGGAATCACTCTCATCAACGGTAACGATGGTTGGTATCTGTCCGTTATCAACAAAATCTATCTTGTTCAGTCTGACGCAGCATAGAGCCTGCTCTGGTAGTTCCTCCTGCTTCTGAGCCTGTATCAAAAAAAAATTTGGACTGGTCAGTGGGTTAATCAAAGTGACATCTCAAGACATAATGCAACTGCTCAGGATAACTTATCCTGGAAGGGATATTCATGGAAAATTACAATCTACTTGAGACATTCATAAACAGTAGTAATAGCTAACTGAGCCAATTATTATGCATGTTATGTTTAAGGCTGCAAGGGAGTTAGAACTTTGACACGCTATGTTTTGATATTAGGTAGAAGACACATGTATTTAGTAACTACCTGGATCGACAAACCCAAATCTACAGTACCATTCTTCAATCGTTCACGAAATGAATCGAGCCCTTTTCTCGATATGTAGCTGAACCGATGTATATCCAAGTCAATCTCAAAGTACTTTT